TATCTATCTATCTATCTATCTATCTATCTATCTATCTATCTATCTATGTTCATTATTGAAGTGCTAAAAATGAAAATAGAAATAATAACAATAATAAAAGAAATAAAACGTCAGCTATTGCCAAAAACGTGGGTGGACCTGCCGGGCCGTATCCCTGCCCCTGCATCAAATACAAAGCTACCTCCTATAAGAGATCATAGTTTTAGTAACGTAATAAATAAATAAACAGCAGCTCTGTGTGAACCATGGCCTGATGCATTATTAAAAAAAGAAAAGTTTATTTTCCTGCATGCACATTTACGCTTTATAACAAGACTAACAAGCAGATGCAGTGTTCTGAATCCAGTATTATGTGCAAACTGCAGTGTAGAATTAAATGAATATCAAACAGAGAGCTGAAGGCAGATGGAGCAGTCCAGGGTTCTGTGCATGTCCTCATGCACTGATTTGCAGCATGCTTTAAAAGAAAACAAATTCCCAGTTTATTCATATTTTTAGAAGCTGTCATCCGTGTTGCACTTTAGATGACCATCAAAGAGACTATGGACTTGTGAGCATCTCACCTGTTTTTTTTTTTTTTCACATTTTATTCACTGTAGAAAAAAAAAAAAACTTAATTTCCTGAACAATGACAAAAGGTTCTGGTTGTGAAAACACAAGCTGTTGTACTCAAACTAACTAAACTCAGACTTTCAGCTGGTGCTCTCCTTCAGCATTACGTGTGCTAGAGTTTTCAGCTCCGTGTCATGATAAAAACCAACCTACAGCTGCTACAAACACCCTGAACACTCATCCTTGAACACGGATAAACAAAATCATGGTAGATCTTTGTTTTACACCAACACCGATAGCTTTCTGTCAGTGCATGAAGAGGGGCTTCAAGTGAAAATGGTTGAGAACCACAGGTGTAAACTATAGATGAATCTGCTGTATCTGTGAATGATGACACCATTTGATTTCCTCCTGTTATCTAACAGTCAGCAATGGTGTACCACAAGGCTCAGTCTTAGGACCCACCCTCTTTAGAATCTACATAGGTAATGTAGGTCAGAGCATCCCTGATGCATCCTTACACTTCTATGCTTATGACACAGTTGTTGATTGTTGAGCTAAAACAGTTGCTAAGGTTTACCAGCTTTTGCATACACTTTCGACATCATCCAGTCAGATCTGTTCTATCTCAAACTTGTCCTAAACGCTGACAAAACCAAAGGGATGCTTTTTTCAAACAGGAAGTCAGTCCCAACAGTTCTTCTTCTGATTTTATCCTCAAATGGTGTCTCTATTGAGTTTGTCGATTCCTACAAATATTTGGATATCTTGGTCGACTCGCATCTCTCAAGAAAATGATCTCAAGCTCTCGACCTTGACCTCTCTAAATGGATTTAAAAATCTGCTAAGTTCATGGCAAAAACCAATGCAGACATGTTCCTGTTTTTAATTGTCTACACCGCCTTACAATCTAGCTGTTTTTTCGCTACCTTTCCTTTTGATTGTCTTTGTGGTTGCCATTTTATTTTTACTTGTTAAAAAAAAAAATAATTTGTACGCATCTTTTATGATTGTATTTTGTTGTCTGTTGTTGTCATCACTCTTTGTTAAAAATTCAGGTTTCTCTTGTAAATGAGTCCACGAAGCTCAATGGGATTAACCTGTATACATAAAAGTTGAATGAAAGCAATATAAATCTGTGACATGATTGACCCTTTTTTGTTGTTATCTTCCTGAATGATTGAGCTTACAAACCTTTTCCTTTTTTTTTTTTTTTGTTGTTGATCCGTAAGATCTTTTACAGACCTCCAAAGAGACCACATCCTATTCTCCTTAGCCACACCCACTCATACCAATGACTTTTTGATTTTCTGGGATGCCACCAATAAAGAAATTGAGCCTCACATCAGGGATAAAAAGGTGGAGTTTAGAGGGCAGGACTACAAGCCAAACATGTGGCACTCTATCTGCACCACCTGGGACGCTGAGTCTGGACTGGTGCAGGTGTGGTTCAATGGACAACCTTCCATCAGAAAATTTATCACCTCAGGAGCAAACATCGCAGGACCTGTTATAATTATTTTGGGACAGGTAAAGCACTATTCCCAATTCTGTCTTACTTTTATAATTCAGAAAAGATAATTAAAATAGTTTCTGTCAAAACTCTGTGTTCCCAACAGGAGCAGGATTCACATGGCGGTGGATTTGACATCAAACAGTCTTTTGTTGGCATGATGTCTGATGTCCACATGTGGGACTACACTATCTCCCCCTGTGAGATCCAGAACTACGTGGACCAGCGAAACTTCACTCCAGGAAATGTGCTGAACTGGAGCGCGCTAGATATTCAGATTGTAGACAGAGTGTTGATAGAAAATAAAGTAGCAGTTTGTTACTAAACATTTCCAAGTGCCATTAGAGCAGGAGATTTATATAACGGTTTAAACATAAATACAGTTTAATTCTGTGCTTTTATGTCCAGTATATGAAATCACATACAAGAGAATGTTTTGTTATACCTCCTAAAGTATGACTTTTTTTGTATCTCTATTAATAATCATGTGACACATTGTGAAACTGAATGTTTCATTCAACAAAAACTAAAAAACATGCTTTACTCAAACAATCAAAGCTGCCTGCCTTTTAAAATCAACTAAAACAACATACAAAGCTTACATATAAAATCATTTTATGTTTTAAACAATGTATAGACTTTAGACATGGCAGCAGTCTTGTAAGTTCAAGGTTGTGTCAGGAAGGGCATCCGGCATAAAATAATTGAAAATCTTTCATCAGAGTTAACTCGCTGTGGCGACCCCTGAAGAAGGGAGCAGACAAAAGAAAGTTTATCAGTTTAATGTAACCAGTGGTGCGTACAGCTAAACAAAAAATTAGCTTTGCTAACCTTTAATTTGCTAACTAAAAAAATAGCTTTACTAATGCAAAACAATCATTTTTTTTTATTATCGGAAGCTAACACTAAGCCACTAACCGCTCAGAGAACTGTCACTTAGTCTGCCTCACACGTCTTTTTCTCCTTTCAGTCGACCAATCATATCTTGTCACGTGCACATGTAGTAAGCCCATGGCATGCCTAACAGACTCTTCGAGACACGCCCACAACAGGCAGGAACAGGCTTGTGAATTTTGTTAGTGGAATTAAAGATGCAAGATTTAATTAGATCTAATTTAGCAAGAGATAATTCTGCTAACAGTTTCCAAAGTTAGCAAAAACACACTAGTTTCTCGATCATTGCGGGGGATCCCTACCCTTAAGCCCCGCGATAAGTGAAAAACCGCAAAGTAGGAATAGTAGTACAAGTAGTAAGCTGTAGTTTATTTTAGTATTATATATATATATATATATATATATATATATATATATATATATATATATATATATATATATATATATATAAAGCTGTTTTAAACCCTACACACACTATTGCAATATTCTAAACAATGTTTCTAAACTCTAAACACTCTAAAAGAGCACAGAATGTCATGATTTCAGCTCTCTACCACCTGCAGAGCAGAGATGTGATACGCTGTAGGAGAGAGTTTCTCCTGCAGCTGTGGGCTGCACACAGGTGCAGTAGGTGCTAAATAATTTAAAACAATTTTATTTTAAATAAAAATTCCATGCCCAAGTCAGAGAGTCAGTCAGAGTCAGAGATTCATTATTGTCATTTGCCCCACATGTGGTACATATGGTGGAGCGAAATTACGTACACAGAGTCCCAGTTACATCCAAAAATAAAATGCATAAGAAAAACAGTAATAAGATCTAAGATATGAACTAAGAAAAGCATCAACTAAAAATACACTAAGCACTAATAGCATAAAAACATTACGTCGAACAGCAGCACGAACATGAGCATGAGTCTGTGTGAGCAGATGAGCACGCATGAACACCTCAACATGAAACAGATCAGCAGCAACACTGAAACAGATCAGCAGCAACATGATGTGATTATTCTGGTTAGAGATTCATGAGTCTAGCAGCCTCATGGTAGAAGCTGTTCTTCAGTCTAGTGGTTCTACACCTAATGCTAAGGGTTAAGTTGAGGACTAAGGTGTAAATTGCAGATGGGTTAGAGTTAGGGTTAGGCATGTACTGGTAATGGTAGGTTTAGGGTAAGGGTCAGGGTTAGGCTATGGAAATGAATGAAAAATGAATAGAAGTAAATGCAACGTTCCCACAAAGTTAAAATTACAAGAACACACACACAAACATACATTTAAACTCTAGACCTACTTTAACTCAGAAATAATTTTGGCGATGGAAGTAATTTTCAAAGTTGTTTTTGATTATTTTATCTTTTTAAATATGCACTCATTTACTGCACTGCCTCTTTAAATAACATTCTACCTGTATAAATGCAGTTAGCCTACACAGCAATACAGAAATACATATAACTCACATTTTCTAAAATTAGTTTCTCTACCAAACAAATATTTCTCAAAGCTTAGACAGTTTTGCTGTTCACTCTAGCTTGACAGACAAAAGTGTATGTAATGTTGTGTGGGCAGCAGAGTGTAGACTGTGTTACTGAACAGACGCTCTTTCAGGTACAAAGTAAATAAAAGTTGTACAACTGCATCTCAACAAATTATTGTGAGGTATTTTTTGGAAATGGAAAAAAAATTGGCTCAAATAATATACTGCTCCTTTTAGAGGCTCACACACTCATGTCACAAAGAAATATAAAATAAAGTAAAATGTCAGAACTTAGTGGAAGAAATCAAGCATACTGTTTTCTTTAAAATTGTAATTAGACTCTCTGTGTCAATCTTTAGAATTTATTTAAAGTCAAATTTTGTATTAATTCTAGAAGTTTTACAGATTGTCTGCATCTCAATAAAACCTGGTTTTCATAACTACAGTTTATTACAGGCAGAGAGCTTGTAGTTTTCTCATGTTTCATCATATTTCCTTGCTTTTGACAGTAAATCATTATAAAATGAACCGTTCTGCACGTCAAGACTAGCAATATATAGGACCAGCTATATACATACATCCATCCATTATCTTATACCCGGTTCTTCCATTTTGGGTCACGGGGGTCGCTGGTGCCCATGTCCAGCAATCACTGTGCGAGGGGCGGGGTACACCCTGGACGGGTCGCAAGTCCATCACAGGGCCAGCTATTTACAATATATATTAAAAACTAGCTAAGATACATAAGACTAGCTGTGTGAGTGTGTGTGTATGTATATATA